TGGACTACGTAAGGTAAAATGGTAGACGAGATCGTAGAACATAGGGCAGCGGCAAGATTCTGATCCACGAGGAGCCATTGATTTTGCTGACGAGCTTGAGTAGACGATTCTTCAGATTGAGATGGAATCGTGACCGAAGAAGAGGAAAGAAACCGATCAAACCCGTTTGCACGAAAAATTTTTGCAATTTGTGCTTTCCAGACGGGATAGTTGTCGGCATCTAGCTGAATGGAGACGATCGTCTTCAAGTTCGATACGACGAACTTCAGCGCGGATGGAATCGTCGAGTCTTCCATTTCCTCCATCTCCGATTTTTCTCCTTGATCTGAAGTAGCAGAACTCATTTCGAAACCAATCCTTCTTTCCTAGCTCTTGATACCATGTAGAAACAAGAACTGTGATCTTGGATCGAGAAGAGATTCAGAATAAGAGGAAGAAGAAGAAGAAGTTGTATATCATGTTCAGTCCAGCGTAACAGAGGATTACAAGTTATTATATAGGCACTGGAAATAGTAATAGCCAATAGGCTAATGCCACATAAGCAACACGACATAAGCAGTAAATAATTACATATTTAATTATTATTTCTGTACACTTAATAGGGGGCACAAATATTTGATGTAAAAAAAATAATCAATCTTTTTCATCTAGGTTTGAGATCGATTAGATTCATTATAAAAATACAAAATATATGATAAAGCAAAAAACTTATAATTGAGAATACTATTGAGATTTTTCTTATATGGAATACATGTCAATATGGCTGCAAGTCTGCAACAAAATTAAAAAGATTCTCAAAATACCCGGAAAAATTATTGGGTTTGGACGCAGTGGTGGAGCCACAATGAGGGCACTGGGGGCACGTGCCCCCACTGGCTTGACAAAATTTTTTAGAGGTGATAAAGAAGGGTTGCACGATGAGGAATTGCAGGCGGGAGTTACTTTGATAAGTTTATCCCTCCTGATCGCATGACTCTATAGTCTAGGCATCATAAGTAATCTCTCTCTCTCTCTCTACAGCTTTCACAATTAAGATGGCTGAGGAGTGGTTGAGTGGGGATGGCACATTCAGCCATTAGAAAAAAAAAATTCCTCAACTGATTTGAAGAATTTTCATTAAAATAATTTTTTTTCTTTGAAATAGTTCTCCAAAAAAATTTGGGCTTTAGTTATATAAAATAAATGCTCTTATTTTCTTGTTACTTTGATAAATTAAAATAATATATTTTTCACACATTTATCTTCTCAAATTATTTCTATTTTTACATAAATTTTTCCTTGAGATATTTTTTATGTCTTTGATATAAATTTTTTTCTTAAAATATAATTTTAAATTGTTTTCACCAACTTTTTGGATAGAGACTAATTATTATTAACTATTTTTATATACCAATACTAAGGTAATTCATTATGAGTAGTAATTTTAAAATAGTCCAACTTGATTGTATTTGATAACTATTTTATAATAAACAAAATAGTTATTTAATAACTCTTTTTAGTGCATAATAATATATTTATTAATAAGTTAGAATAATTTTTTTCATAGAAAGTTCACGGTCTTCAAATTATATTTATATTATATATTTTTTTAAAATAAAACTACCTTTTAAATTCTTAAATATTTAAAGTAAAAAAATGAAACTAATAGAATTTTATGAAATACAACTAAAAGAATATGGAATTAATAATTTATTAAAAATAAATATTGATATTTTTGAAAGTTAAAATTATTATTTCACTATAAATTATTAAAGTAAAAGACAATAGAAATCATCCTAAAAAATTAAAAGTATTTTAAAAATTATTAATTTATGCCCCACTAACAAAAATTTTTTGTTCTGCCCCTGCGGATAATGGACATAGCTTATCGTTCGAAGACCAATCAAGTGCAGCCATGTTATCCAGTACCGAGTAATACTGAGCTTGGTACTGTGAAGTACTGAGTTTGTTATTGAGCAATATATTGAGCTCGGTACTGCTCAGCATCGAACTAAGTATTGTTATTGGGCTCTGGACATCATCCAGTATCCGAACCCAATAATTTTCCGAATACGGCCTGCGGCCTGCAGGAATCACTCACTCCTTGCAGCCGTTGGCAACGATGAGTCTGCAAAAATAGCATGTTGTTATTGCCGACGTTCTAGGGCTTTTCGGGTTGTCGCCTAAACTGATGCCGACGTGACTACTCGTGAGTCGTGAATGATCGCCACTAGTCGCTACTAGCTCGATGCTGGAAAAGAAAGACCGCCGATTAGAAATTGGGAAGGGAATCAGTCCATCTGAAAGTCTCTTGAAAATGTAACAAAATAAATATAATTTATTTTATTTAATGCTAATTAAAAAATAATTAATACGCCCCTGAACTAGTAGGAACAGTTATGAAAATTTGTGGTCATAAACGAGCACATTCTCTCGAGGGTTGTACCCCTGTTGGGCCGGCCCAAAAATAATATTAAATATTATTATTATTTTAATGCCTTGCCCTAGTACAGCATGCATTGCTTAGCCATACCGCGAGCTGACAGCATGTCACTTCGCATCGTCATTTGCTTCCCTGTGTGGTGGGAGAAATTATTGGGTGCGAAGTACGGACGTAGCTATGTGTGTGCAAACGAATTGGTTCGCGCCACGTAGAGCCCATCTTGACCCCACCGACTTGAAGAGAACGTGTGCTCTGCTTATCCGATAACCCGATAACACGAACCATCCGAACTACTTGAAAAAATGCGCGGTACCTAGTAGTACCGAGCGGTACCTAGTAGTACCGAGCGGTACCTAGTAGTACCTAGATGCGGTAAAATAAAGAATAAACTCTAACAACAAACCCTAGATCTACAATAACTTATGGAACTTAGAATGCTTACAGAAATATGCCAAATCCTAGAGAGTACCCACCTCTAGGTACTACTAGGTACCGCTCGGTACTACTCGGTACTACTAGGTACCTCTCGGTACTACTAGGTATCGCGTATTTTTCAAGTAGTTCGGATGATTCGTGTTATCGGGTTATCGGGTAAACAGACACACGTTCTCTTCAAGTCGGTGGGGTCAAGATGCGCTCCACGTGGTGCGAACCAATTCATTTGCACACACAGAGCTACGTCCGCACTCCGCACCCAATAATTTCTCGTGTGGTGGAGAGGTGACTGTTACTACTGTTAAAAAATAAAAAACAGATCATCCCCATTAGGATATAATCCGGTCGATCTATCATATAACTCACATCAATTTATACGGGCCAATACTTAAGGACTGTTACTACTGTTGGAGAGAAAAATTATAATAATGTATATTTTCACTGCTTGGGCAAGAAAATCAATATAGATTAGCAATTCCTATTATAATCGTCTTTAGCTTCAAGATATCATAAGCATGTGAGGTGAATAATATATTTTATTTTTGTATTACATTTTATTAATTGTTCTGATATAATCTATATCTATAAATAAATTATAAGTATTTTGGTGTGACATCTGATCGGAGATCCTGCAGAAAACAAAGTCATCGGAGGCTACAAGAAAACATAGAGAATTGATAGATAATATTTTTTCTTCTCTTCTCCATTTGTTCTTCTAGTCATAAAAGTATTCCTATTGTGTTATCAGATTGCTACTAATAGTAAGGCAAGAGCTCAGCTATATTGATGCAGCTAATATAAAGAAAGGTAGAAACTTGGGAGCATAAACAAGGAAGAAAGTTGTGGTAATCTAAGCTCCCTCCCGTTTTAATGTGTGAGTGCACTGTGTCAAGAACCCAGCTTGCGGAGGAGATAGCAGACACGACTAAGAAGAAGATAGAAAAGGAAAGAATTGTCTTATTATTAAAGTGTACAGTACAGGAACTATAAATAGAAAAGCTAAGAGATAAACTGATACAGCGATACAATTTAACTAAGCTGAGCTGCACGTATGTGTTGGCTTATATTCCCCCTCAAATTGATCATTCGAGGAGTGAATGTTCAGTTTGTTTCGAAGAGCCAGGAACCGAGTGGCTGACAGCGGTTTTGTGAAGATATCGGCGATCTGATCAATGGAGCTGAGGTGTGTAACCGAGATATGCCCGGAGTCAATATGATCGCGAATGAAGTGGTGGTCTATTTCGATGTGTTTTGTTCGGGCGTGGAAGACGGGATTGTGTGCCAAAGCAATTGCCGAAGTATTGTCACAGTGAATGACAGTTGGCGATGTCTGCGGAAGGTGGAGTTCTTCAACAAGTCGGCGAAGCCAGAGTATCTCAGAGACAGCGGAGGAAAGTGCCCTGTATTCGGCCTCGGTAGATGACTTTGCAACGGTAGTTTGCTTCTTGGAACACCAGGAGATTAATGTTGAACCAAGAAAGGTGCAGTGACCGGTGATTGATTTCCGGTCTGCAGAATCTGCAGCCCAATCCGCATCGACGAATGAGCGTAGCTGAAGATCGTGGCGATCAATCTGTAGACCGATGGTGGTAGTGCCCTTGATATATCTGAGCAGCCTTTTGAGAGCAAGGAAGTCTTTAATTGTGGGGCTGTGCATGTGTTGACAGATGGAGTTCACGGCAAAGGCGATGTCGGGTCGGGTAATTGAAAGATACTGTAGTGAGCCAGCAATAGTGCGGTAGAGCGTTGGGTCCGTGTATGGCTGTATGTCGTGACTGGTTGGTGTGGATTTGGAGATCATCGGAGTGGCAACGGGTTTGCAATTTGAGAAGCCGGCTTTGTCCAGAAGTTGGTTGGCATAATGGGTCTGCTGTAAGAGAATCCGATTTGGAGATTGCGTGACTTGAATGCCCAGATATAACGAGACAGCAGCCATTTGCTTGATTTTAAAAGTAGCGTGCAGATGTTCAAGAAGGCGTTTGAGT